CCTTTGGGGCTGTTCCCTAGGGGCTGGGGCTGCTTTCTGACACGTACCGGCAGCACTAGGTACCCAGAATCTTCGAAGTGGCCAATTATAGGGGGAAGATTCTGAGAATTTATGGCTCATGAAAATAAGGAACCGCCTTCCGGGAACCCAGTGACATCGGTGACCTCATTAATACTGTGGTAACTGGGGGCGGTCAGGGGTGCCCAGCAGCCACCTGCTCAGGCCCGCCCCCAGCTGCCACACCTCCAGCTCCTGATGGACAGCAGGAGAGCAGGTCAGGGACCCTGCACCCTCTTCCTGCCTTCTAGTCACATCGCCCTCTGCCTGAACTCTTCCTCTACCCGCCAGAGGCTTCCCATGGCTCTTAGGTCAAACTCCACCTTCTTCCTCCCCAGGCTTTCAAGGGGGCTGTTCACTGCCTGGAACCTGCTGGCCTCCCATTGCACTCGTCACCCTCGTTCCCGTCTGTGCAGATCTGGCTCCCTGGGGAAGCATCAGTAACCCCGGGGACACTCTTGCGACTCCTCTGCTTCGCCTTTCCAGAACTCCTGGCACAGCTACCGTTAAATAAACCACTCTGCAGCTGGCTTCTTCGTGTCTGTCTCCCCTGCCCCTGAAACAGGAGCTCCACGGGGTGTCTGTCGTGCTCGCTGCTGTACCCCAGACCCCAGCACAGTCTGCACCTGGAAGGCGCTCGATAAATATGTGCCGTGCACATGAATGCTACTTCGCAGCCCTGTGGCTTTAGGCAATAACAAAAATAACCATTTGGCAAGAACCTACGGCGTGCCAGGCACGACGCTTCTTCCCTTCCTTTGCTGCCTGCATTTTCACATCCATCAGGGGGAGGAGGAGGTATTATTACATTATACAAATAGAAAACCAAGGCCTGGAGAGGCTGAGGTAGCGTGCACAAGGCCACAGAGCACTGGACAGAACCCAGATCCGTCCGGCAGCGAAGTCCTTGCTTTCAGCCGGGCGCCGCTTCGTGTCTCACCCCGTCCGTTGCTGCAGAAAAAGGGGCGCAGCACCTGCCTCCAGGGGTTGCCGTGAGGCTCCCTCAGAAGGGGCCGAGTGCATGGCGGTTGCCCGATGAATGCCATTTTCTTTTGCTATTCTAAACTATTGCCCAGAAAATCAGATTTATCCTTCAGACCAAGTGAGAAACCCAATCAAATAAGCCCTAACCGACCCCCCCCAATTTACCGGCTCCTTGTGTGCGAGTGCCAGTCCCCCACGTGGCTGTGCTGGAGGCTGAAGCACTTAAACTGGAAAAGGAGAGCTTCATTTCCTCCCCACCGGCAGGGAAAAGACAGTATTGGACTCGATTTGGTGAAACCGGAAGGGAAGGACACCCAGATTGGATGTTTTCTAGATGGCCTCGCCCCGCCCCCCTTGGTTAGCAAGCAGAATGCGTGCCCAGCAGCGTTTCTTCTGGTTCCCCGGGGGAGGGGCAGTGAGAGAGGCCGAGGCATCAGGCAGACCTGGGTTTGCCCGCCTGGCTCTGGCTCTGTGGCGGACGCCACCCTCCGAGCCCCTTCACTGCCAGGCCGGGCAGGAGGCTAAGAAGAAGGAAGTGGTATTCCTGAGTTTCACTACAGCTCAATCCAGGAGGGACGCTTTCTGGTGGTGAATGCGCCGAGGACCCCACTAAGAGTAGAGTTCTCCTAGGGCCCTGAAAACTCAGAACTCGACCCAGCAGGGTCAAAGAAAGCACAAGCCCCTGCCAGAAGTGTGTGCAGGTGAGAGGTGGAAGTGAGAGAGGATAGAGAAACTACCTCTGGAAGACATCCTGGAGGAGGTGACAGAGGAGGCAGGGCTTGAAAGAAGAGTAAGACCTCACTAGGTAAGGAAGGGCATTCCAGGCAGTGGGAACAGCACATGCAAAGGCACGGAGTCAGAACCGGGAGCAATGAGATGCCACAGAGCCATATTAAACCTTATGAGCACCATGAGGCAGTAGGTACTGCAAAGTCCCCCTGGTATGAATTCAGGGGAGATGTCTCCTGCCTCCAAGCACTTACGAAGGCTCAAGAAGACAGCATGCCTGAGCTGGGCCTCGAAAGGAGAATCATTAAAGTGACTACAGTGAAGATTGGAACACCAGGTGGAGGGGACGGCAGAGGCCAAGGCAGGAGTGAGAAGGCACCTTGCATTTGGGGACACACGCTTGCCTTGCTGTTTGTGAAATTGGGAGACGAATGCTGGAGTGTTTGGCGAGCCCCAGTTGGAAGGAGGGTTGAAGTCTGATTAAAGAACAGACATTAAAGATGGGCCAAAAGAGTTCGAGCTGAGTTTGAATCCAGGCTGCACCACTTCCTAGGGTGTACCGTCACCGGCCTCTTTGAGCCTCCCTCTCCTTAACTGTTAAATGAAGACAGTGATTGCCCTCGCTTGTGGGGTGGTTGTGAGGATTCAACGATATTTTATTTAATGTGCGTCATGCCACTTTGCCCAGGACTGTCCTGCAGCACAGCCGTGCCAGGGATCGCTGAACCATCATCCCCCTCCCAAGGGAAGCTCACGTTGTTTCCATCTTTTTGCCGTTTGCAGACCTGCCAACATGGACATCCTTGTCCATGCATTTTTGTATGACAGCAGTTGTCCTGCCACAGGCTAGACTCCCAAAAGAATAATTTAGGTCTAAGTGGCCGAGAGGAGCATCCACTACATGTTGGGAATCTTAAGGGAAATGAAGGAAAGACAGTTTGTGGGTGACGTGTAGGGTGTGTGTGGGCAGTGCCCGCGGACACGTGGAGGCACAGAGAAGGTACGGAAGGCCCCACACACCAGTCAGCAGGGCTTGGGGTTGTGATGGCCACGGTAGTTGGCCCCTGCTATGTACCTTGGGGATGCTGGGTTTACTGTAAGGAGCATGTTATCAGTTTAGAAATTTGAGAGGACAGTTCAAGAGAGTACTTTTTATGTTATCTGTGATGGTGACAACAATGGAGACAGTGATGACTTGGGTCTTCCTTACACTCAAAGGGAGCCATCGAAGGGGTGACGTGGCCCTTTAGGGTGATCCTTCTGCTCACAGGGGACAGGGAGGATGGGAGGGAAGGAGCCCCATACAAAGCCGCTGCCTTCACAAAAGGTTACCAGAAACTTACAGGAGCTGGGCTTTAAATAGAAATACAACAGAAGTTCCTCTTTGAAACTCCTCGGAGAACGGAATCACAGCTGTTTTGTTCGACCCCGCGGTACCTGGAACAGCATTTGGCACATCGTGGGTTCTCAGAGAAATATTTGTTGAAAAGAACAGAGGAAGGGAGGGGAGGGAGGGGTAGCAGGGGAGAGGAGGGGAGGGAGAAAGGAAGGAATTTCTAGTTATAAGAAAGGCTGGTTCACTCAGATTTGAAGACCCCCCTAAACATTGACTAAAATGTCAGCCTAATGCCAAAATACCTATACCCAGCTGTTAAGGAAACTCAAAGAGAATTTTGATCAGAAATAAGGATTCTAAAAAAAAAAATCCTTGTTGCTACCCCATCCAAAATTAATTAAGTGTGGCAGTAAGACTCATACTGTTTGGGCTATACATGTAATGAAAAGATCTTCTAAAAATAAGTACCCAGAGGCCCGGCTCGCATGGCCGGGTGACTGAGCCGGGGGAGCCCTGATGCCTGCACCGACACAGTGGTTGTGACTAAATGATGCTTCTCGTGTTCAGGTTGCAAAACCGCTCCAGGCAAGAGCCTGGGAGAGGCTTAGTTTATAGTCTATGGAGATTAGCTTGCTTCTGAAAGGGGTTCGCCGTGACTGGGTTTCTGCAGACTCTCAGACCGCAGATGGCCTGCTGGCTGCTGTCTGAAAAGCCAGGCTGAACCCCTGTGGCAGGACCCGGAAGCGGGCAGGGCCTTCGCTTGCTTCTCGCCAGCTGGAATCACAGACTGTCGCCACTAGGAGGGAGCCTTGGAGACTGGTGGCCAGGGGCTCCTGTTTAACCAAGAAACGTGGCGCGTGCAGCTATCATATGGATGTGTGTTTGCAGCAGGAAAGGGGCGGGGAGGAGAAACCACCCAAATGCCTGCGCGAGGGTGATACGGGGATGACAGAGTACACTGCGGTGGGCCACCGCATGGGCTGTCACGCAGCCTTCGAGAGGACTGAGTGAGTTGCGTTGAAGTGGGATCACGTGTGCTGCTAAGTAGGCCTGGTAAGATTTAGAGATGTGTTCAGAGCGGGGACGGCATCGACGAAGCGGGGAGATGACAGGCGATGAACTGCAGGTAAATGTGGCCCTCTGCCTGGCTTCGTACAGCCCATGAGCCAAGGATGGTTTTCACATTTTTAAATCAAAAAGAGATTTTTTTGTGACACGTGAAAATTATATGAAATTGAAATTTCGGTGCCCATCACTCAAGTTTTATTGGAGTGCAGCCACAGTCATGGGTCTGCGCGTCGTCTGCATAGCTGCTTTCACGCCTGCGAAGGCAGAGTGGAGTCATTGCAACGGAGACCGTGCGGGCTGCAAAGCAAAACTATTTATTACCTGACCCTTTTCTGGAAAAGTTGTCGGCCCTTGGATTAGAGTATGGTGACATTTTGCAAAACAACAGCACCAGATGCTGTTCTCAGCACTTTGTAAGAGTAGATTCATTACATTTGTTTACTCATTCATTCATTCATTCTATCATTTATTCATCAGGTGCTTAATGCCCACCTGTGGGGCCAGGCACCAGGAACCAGCAGTGAACAAACAGATGCAGCCCCTGTTCTCGTGGAGCTGAGTCTGTGCCTAGATCTCTCTTTTTTCAGTTTAAATGTTCCTAGGCCTTCCGACTATTTCTCACAAGTCTCGGGGTCCAGCCCCTTGCATCCTGCCTGCTGTCCTCCTCCCCACCATAGATCAGTCCCTCCTAAGGAAAGGTACCCACAGCGGCCTATGCCTCCTGGGGTCTTGCCAGGAAGTTGATGTCTAGAAGGACTCGCCTTAAATCTGGTCACACTCTGGGCCTGGTTTCAAAGTGCTCAACATCCAACCTTTGCCCTTTCAGCTCCTGCCCTCCAGAGACCCCAGAGAGGGAGACCTCAGTCCCTGACCCCATCACGTGGATGGGAGCAGGAGCCAGCTATGGAGAAGGACACAGCTGTGTCTCCACGTAACCCCTCCTGCATGACACCAGAGCCACCTCCAGACACACACCTCAGTGCCTCAGTCTCTGTGCACCACCTGGAGAGCGGAGACCCGCCCCAGCCCCGGGAGGAAGTTAGCTCTTCAGGGGGCCATCTGAGGACTGGAGTTTGAACTGCAAACCTGGCTTCAAGGCCTGCCTTTCTCTCTTTTTCATTTATACTCATGCCTAACACATTAGAGGAGACTGCTTTATTTATTTCTAGAAAAACAGCACTGGGTCAGTCATTGAAGCCCCCTGAAATTTGGACACCTTTTTAGGCTCTGTTGGGAGCCTGGAGCACTCAGTGGGTGGCGTCATTAACACATCAGGAGCTGGGAGAGGAGTGGCCAGGGCCCCCAGTCAGGGCTCCGAGCCGCAGGGCCGCAGGATGGCGTCCAATGGCACAGCCTCTTCCTTCTGCCTGGACTCCACCACGTGCAAGATCACCATCAGCGTGGTCCTCACCGTCCTCATCCTCATCACCATCGCGGGCAACGTGGTTGTCTGTCTGGCTGTGGGCTTGAACCGCCGGCTCCGCAATCTGACCAACTGCTTCATCGTGTCCTTGGCTATCACTGACCTGCTCCTCGGCCTCCTGGTGCTGCCCTTCTCTGCCGTCTACCAGCTGAGCTGCACGTGGAGCTTCGGCAAGGTCTTCTGCAACATCTACACCAGCCTGGACGTGATGCTGTGCACGGCCTCCATCCTCAACCTCTTCATGATCAGCCTGGACCGGTACTGTGCCGTCATGGACCCGCTGCGCTACCCCGTGCTGGTCACCCCTGTCCGGGTCGCCATCTCTCTGGTCTTAATTTGGGTCATCTCCATCACCCTGTCCTTCCTGTCTATCCACCTGGGGTGGAACAGCAGGAATGAGACCGGTAAGCACAATCACACCACCTCCAAGTGCAAAGTCCAGGTCAATGAAGTGTATGGCGTGGTGGACGGGCTGGTCACCTTCTACCTGCCTCTGCTGGTCATGTGTGTCACTTACTACCGTATCTTCAAGGTGGCCCGGGATCAGGCCAAGAGGATCAACCACATCAGCTCCTGGAAGGCAGCCACCATCAGGGAGCACAAAGCCACAGTGACGCTGGCCGCTGTAATGGGGGCCTTCATCATCTGCTGGTTTCCTTACTTCACCGTGTTTGTGTACCGTGGCCTGAAAGGGGACGACGCCGTCAACGAGGTGTTTGAAGCCGTCGTTCTGTGGCTGGGCTATGCCAACTCGGCCCTGAACCCCATCCTGTATGCTGCCCTGAACAGAGACTTCCGCGCCGGGTACCGGCAGCTCTTCTGCTGCAGGCTTGCCAGCCGCGACTCCCACGAAACCTCTCTGAGGTCTAACAGCTCTCAGCTGTCCAGGAGCCAAAGCCGAGGACCCAGGCGGCAGGAAGAGAAACCCCTGAAGCTCCAGGTGTGGAGTGGGATGGAAGCCATGGCCCCCCAGGGAGCCACCGACAGGTAACAGCCCTAGCCCTTGGTGCAGGAGGGGTCGCTGGGAGGGGACCCACTGTCCAGGAGGTGCTGCTTTAGGTTCTGTGAACTCTCCATGAGCACTTCGCAAATTTATCTGGTCGAATCCTCCCAACGGCCCCCAAAGGTGGAATTGTTCGGCTCTGCTTTAACAGAAGCACATTAAAGTTCCCAGAGAACTTGGTGAGGGCTGCACAGCTGGAACCTGGACAAAGGTCTCATGACTCTAGAACTTGTGGGCCCCTTTTTCCAGCTACATTGTCCTTGCAACCAGGAGACCTAGGTTTGAGGCCCGACTCTGCCCCTTAGGAATGGTAGGTGGCCAACCACCCCCCAGGGTGGCACTCAGCAGCCATGCGCTAATGCTGCCACCTGAGGGGGCTCTTGTGCAGTTACATGGGAAACTCAGCTCCGTTCAGCATTTATTGAGCAGCTACTATGCGTCAGCTTTACCATGGGGGTGTGCAAGTCACTGCGGGAAGAGGATGGCAGTGTCAGAGAGGCAGGGCCTTGAGGGCCCAGGTAAGCCTTTGGGTGTTGTGCGGTAGATCTTAGCAGGGATGAAGGGTTGGCAGCAAGGATGGGAGTAACCTAAGCAGATCTGTGCGGTGGAAAGAGGGCTCTGGCTGTCCCCTGAGATGTGGGCCAGCAGGGGAGACTGCAGACGTGGGCTCTTGGCACTGCCCGTGAGAAAGGAAACGAGAAGACATAAAAACCTAGGCGGTGATGTGTTTTTACAAGGTCTGCAGACTCCCGGGTGTGCAGGGAGATGCAAGACAAGGACAATGGGACTCCACCTCCAGGAGGGGTCCGGGCTGGCAGATAAACAGAATCAGAAGGAGATCTGGGTAAATTCACTGGTGACAAAGCCAGTGGGGGAGGGACAGCTTACTGGTCTGAGCCTGAGCTGCTGAGAGGACTAAGGGAAAGAGCAGTAGGACACCTGGCTCATAGAAGTTGCTCAGTAAATGCTGCTTTCTCTCTCTTCCCAGAAGGCTGGTCTATGGAACTGACCCATTCATTCATTCGTTCATTCATTCATTCGTTCGCGAACATTTATCCAATTCCCACCACATGCCAACAGCTGTGCTGAATGTTGGGGGTGTCAAAAAGACATTTTTGTGTTTGTGCCGATGGGTGGTTATGGAAAGTCAGTTGCATAGTTCTGGTCTCAGCTCTGCCCTCACTCACCTGTGGCTTGAGCAAGTCCCTGCCCTCCCAGGCCCCAGTTTCCGCATCTCCCAGAAAGTCAGCTCTATGCTCGTGCGGCCTGCCTGCTCATGCCCGCAGCTGCGTGAAGCTCACATGAGCTGAGGGGTAGAACAGGCTCTGTGGTCCACAGATAGGACACAGGTCCACACTCGAGCACTGGGCATTGGACTCAAGAAAGGCTTGGATGGACTCTGCAGACCCACCCACGAGGGCTCTGGGTTCTGATCTCTGTGGACAGTTGTGGGCACAAAACTGCCTAACGAGACCCCTGAGCTTCCTATCCCCTCTGGTACTTGCAGCTGCCATCCCCATCCCCAGGTGTGGTGTGTGCCCCGTAGACTTGGCTCCTGTGCCCTCCACTCTTCCACAACCGTCCCTCTGTGCCGAACTATGGCCACAGCCTCCTCCCTGGCCTCCCGGCCTCTGGACTCTGCCTCTCAAATCCATCCACCAACATGCACTTCCGGAGACTTCCTCGCCCAGTCCTGATGGGTGAAATGCCCATCTGACCATGTCCTTGCACAATCCCTCATTCAGGAGGCAGCCTCCAGGGCAAAGCTAATTCGGTTCACAGAGCATGAAGCAGTGGACACGCTGGCTTAGTCACGTGTATCACTCTGTACTGCTCTTAGTGGTTTGAGCCCCAGGTTAATAAGCTGCCTTTTAGCCCTAATCCTTAAGGAAACTCATTCAATAAGACTTAACAACAATGGCTAGCATTCACTCAGCACCCACTACTTGCCCCCTTTACACGTTTGACATTGTTTCTAGGTACTAGTCATTCTGTGGGGCGTCTGCTCCCACCCCTGCGCCGAGGGCCCCGCCCTGTGCCGCCCCCTTGCCGCCTGTCCTTGCTCATGGTTAGGGAGCAGACTTTAATGGTTCAGAGCAGCATGTGCCCCCGGCATCCACACAGGCCAGTGCGTGGCCCTGAGAGCCCGTCCCGGAGGGCAGCCCTCTGAGCTGAGCCTTTAAATGCAAACGAGGAAGACCCATGTATCCAGGGCAGGGCTGGACCCTCGCGACCAGGGGCCTCCTTCATTCTCAGCACAACCTATGAAGTAGGGGCTTGTTTAATCTCCACTTTCTAGGTGGGAAAACAGAGGCTCAGAGAAGTCACGTCAATTGCCCCAAGTGACATAAGTTAATAAGTCAGCCAAAGCTGCCCTCTGAGCAACAAGAGAAGCAGCAGCTCCTGTCACTGCTGTCTGCTGGGTACTGGGCACACTGCCGGGTATGAGCACCCGGGGCGGGGGGCTGGGAAGAAACCAAGGCCAGCGGAGAGGCAGTGCCTGCCTGGGTCCCACACGGCAGCCGTAGAGCCAGGGCCAGAGCTCCTGGAGACCACAGGTCCGTGGCCGGGCTCTGTCCTCCAGAGCAGGGGGAGCCAGTCGGAGGGCAGGGAGGCTGGAGGAACCAAGGGCAGCCAGGCATGGATAGTCCCACTCAGGCTGCTAGGGCAATCGGCCTCAGTCGGCTCCCAGCTTCTGCTGACCGATAGCGTGTCCTTCCTGCTCTCCGTCCAAGGACGAGACCCAGCGCTGAGCCGGAGCCCTTATCACTGCCCAGGTTGGGGTGTCAGTCTGAGCCAAGAATTCCGAGGAACCAAGGAACCGAACCAGCCTGCTCTGGCTGGGGTGGGGTGGGGGCACGGCCAGCCAGGGCAGAGGGTGCCGAGCTCTCTAGAACATGAATGTCACCACGTTGTCCCTGCTCACTGACCTCTGGCTCTCATCACCTACTGGCCGTGGACAGCCCCGCGTCAGTCCCCCGTGGCTGCCGTAACGAATTACCACCAGCTTCATGGCTGAAGACAACACACGTTTCCTCTGTCACGGCTCAGGAGGTCAGAAGTCTGAAATCAAGGTGTTGGCAGGACTGCTTCCTTCTGGAGGATTCCAAGGGGCATCCCTTTCCTTGCCTTTTCTCACTTGTAGGTGCCGCCCGCACTCCTTGGCTCATAGCCCCTTTCTCACGTCACCCCGGCCTCTTGCTGCCGTGCTCGTATCACCCTCTCCTCTCCGGTAGCCAGACCTCCCTCTGCCCCCTCCTGTAAAGACACTGTGGTTACACTGAGGGCCACCCGGATAACCCACGATACTCTCCCATCTCAAATTCCTCAATCGCATCTGCAAAGCCCCTTTTGCCACGTAAGGTAACATTCTCAGGTGGTTAGAACATGGACATATTTTGGAGCCATTATTTAGCCTCCCAGAAGTCCCAGCTCCCTGACCTGGCATTGGAGGCCCCGCCCGCATGGTTGGTCCCTGTCCATCTTCCCATTCCACTTCCTGCCACCACCCTCTGCCCCAGCCAAAGCAAACCACTCAGAGTCCATTCATTCGAAAGCATTCACCAAGGACTTGCTCTCTGCCAGCACTGTTTGGGGGACAGCAGTGAGCAAAGCAGAGGCCTTCCTCTCCTAGGAACCTTATCCTAGAGCAGTGGTTCTCCAAGTGTGGTCCCCGACCAGCAGGGGACTCCCAGAAACAAAGGAACTGGCCCAGGCCCTAAAGCCCCATGTGGGGCAGAGCTGGGATTCGAGCCCAGATCTGTCTGACCCCAAAGCCTGGGCTCTTTCCATGATGAAATGCTGCCTGGACTTGAAGTCGGCCCTGTTTTTGAGCCACAGCTCAGTGCTAGATGCTAGATGGAGAAACCGAGGAACAGGGAGGCAAGTGACCTGTCTGAGGTGCGAAGCAAGCTAAGGAGAGGCTGGGAGAAGAACCCTGTGTCTCTGGCCCTGGCCCAGAGCTCATTGGGTCCTTTTCCCTCCCACCTACCCAGTTGTTCTCGGTAACGTCCCAGGGCCAGGGGATAATATTCATAAGCACCTGGAGTGTCACCACCTCTCCCAGGGTGTGGCACTTCCTCACTCCCTGAGCCCTGTGCCTGTGCCTTGGCTTCCTTATTCCCAGATACCTGGCGCACTGGGGTCAGAGGTTGGCACCCCCTCTTCCAGCTCTCTCCTTGCCCAAAGACCAGCGCCCCCACTGCTCCCTGACTGGCTCCTGGAATCCACTCTCCTTCCCTCTGCAGCCAGAGGGAAGTTTTCAAATGTAAATTCTGATCAAACTCCTCTCCTCCTGTTGCTCTTAAAGTAAAAAGTTCTTGCCCCAGCCCCCAAGGCCCTGCACTGCTGGGCTCCTACACTGCCCAAACCCCTCTGGGAACCCTCTGGTCCCCTCCCAGGCCACACGGTATCTTCCCCATGCCACCTCCCCTCAGCCCGGACCCTCTTCTTACCCTCTTGGTGCTTTGTTGGTTTGATGTCCCCCCCAGACCTGCTCCTGAGGGCGGCCCGCGTCTGTGTTGCACACTGCTGGACCCTAGCACCGGCACTGCCCGGCACGAACAGGCCCAGGAATATTGTTGAATGAATGAATGAAGAAACGAGTGTCTTGTCCGAGGTCCCCGAGAGCCCTGAGAGGGGAGTAATGCCACCCCTGCTGTGGAGATCAGGAAGCCAGGGCTCAGAGTGGGGAGTTCAGGAAACCTGTAAGAGCTCAGAGATTCCTTTCTAACTTGCCTCCCTCCAAATACTGGTGTCCGGGGCAGCCCTTCCTGCAGAATCGGGGCCAGCTCCGAATCGTGGAGTCGCAGGACGGGAGTGGCCCAGCCACATCCCCCCACCTCTGTCACAGACGAATCCAGGAGCGTGGAGCGCATAAAGTGGGCTCCAGAGCCCCCAACAACCTGGTGGTGTCCGCTGAGTCACCACGGCACACCCTGATTTGGCCAGAGGCTGGGGCACAGGGGAGGAGCAGGGCGGACTT